CTTTGTAATTTATGGTGTATGTATCGTTTGGTGATCTCTTTTAACAGGATGTATCAAGTAACAAGTGGTCAGGCTCAGGTGGTGTTCATTGAAACCACCTGTACTATAAAATGTTACATACAATCGCTAGTAGTGGCAATTAGTTTTGTCTCTATAGTGAAACAACATACATGAACATATGTTGAAATAAACTTATTTGAAAGTTCAAAGAAATGATATTCAAGTACCGAAAAGCTTTCTTACTATCATATCTACAGTAATGTTCAAATGCGCCCGCGCTGGACTGAAAAAGAATGACCCCCAACAGGGGTGAAATAGTTTACGGAAAACGTACAAAGTTCACGCTGCTGACCCCACGGTTTAATCGGCACAATAAACAAAAGTACGGCTGCAATGAAACATAAACTTGAAATAAAAATATATTTATAAAAGAAAATTAAAATGTTTTTATGTACATATATAATCATGAAATCTTAGTTAAAATGAAAAATACTCATTTATTGCTTAGGTTTATTTACACATATTATTTTTGGGTCTTATATATTACTTGAAACCATAAGGAGAGTATGTGATTATTAAAAAATTAAAAATAGATAAAATTTGCACTTTATGGACGACAAAATTTTTTTGGAATTGCAAAATAATGTACTAAAACATAAAAAGTAATCAGTTCAAATCTGGAACAAATATAAATATTGTAATCATTTCCTATAAATACCATTTCCTAACGTAATTTTCCAAGATATTAAAGATTATAATGCAAAAAAACCAAATTTATCAAAGTAACAGGCTTTATGTTTCTTAAACTATGTACATTTATGAAAGGTCTTGAGAAGTTTCAAAACTTTTTAACCAATAGTTTTATTGTTGGAATGACATATAGCAAGACTTGCATTGGCTACTAAGAAAGTTAGTAGCCGGTAGTCATTGGGTTAATAGCTTCCATATTTATTATGGACCTATCTAGACACTTCAGTATGTACTGGAAACTTGAAATCTGTAGAGTGTTTTAGGGGTTTTACTGATAATAATATACACCTGGAAAAAAGTTAAGCACCCCCAAATATTTTTCAGGATTGCTTATTGAAAATAAGGTTTAATTTTCATGATGTTGAGCAATGTTCATAATTTCAAACATAATTAAAAGGATGTGAGCATTCAGGTGTGACATTTAAATCAGGCGC